AAAACATTCATTTTTGGTTGACATTTTCTGCGTTTTGGTAAAAAAAAAATGTTTTTAAGTACCTTTTTTGTCTTTGGGTAAAAAATTTGACTGCAAATATTTCTGAAAGCCAACAATATTTCATTTTTGGTTTTTCATTGAAAAAAAACAATTCTACAGAATTTTTTGGAAAATAAGCATTTTTCAAAATTTCCTGCAAAAATACAATAATTGGTCTTTTGATCAGTTCTACTCCCATCCCTGTGTTAAAAAAATCAAGGTCCTGACTCATATTGGTTAGCACATGCACAGCTGTCTATTGAATTTAAAGGGACGATGTACATGAGTAAGTGCTCACCTGTGTAACGGTTACACAATGTACTCCAAGTATGCTACGGTAGTGGCCCAAAACCATAGAGTATTGCTAGGCACAGTGTTGCCTAGTGAATAGCGTATCACGCTAGCACTCAGGAGCCCTGCGTTCTAATCTCAGCTCTGCTATTAGCCTGCTGGGTGACCGAGGGCAAGTCACTGGACCACTCAGTGCCTCAGTTTCCCCATCTGTAAGATAGGGATAATTATAGAACTGTAGGGCTGGAAGGGACCTCAAGAAGTCATTGCAACACTGGCATACCAGGTGCCAGCTCTATGCCAAGGCCCCCACATCTCAGCTGAATGCTGGCAAATACATAGCTAGAATCAGTCTGTTGAAAGTATTAAAATAAGTATTAGAATGGTAAGAATGTGTTTAGACTTTATTGAATGCTTGCGAGTCAATGCATGCATTAATCTCACATATAACCTCTGTATCCTATGTTGTAAGGTAATATCTAGTGGTTCTCAACCTGCGGCCCAATCAGCACACAGCTGCGGACCATGTGACATCCTCAGGGCCATACAGGGAACATTGGATGGGCCCACATAACACATTGTGGGCCACATATGCTGCCCACAATGGTAAATAGGTTGAGAACCACTGAAAGCAGTTGTATTATGAATCCCTGTGAAAACGACTGTGTAAATTATCAGACAGGAAAGACATTAATTGGCATGAAGGGCTGATCTTCAGCAGAAGGTGTTACATCCTTCCCAGAAGGCAAGGACCATCGATACCAGATGAATCACTGTAGGACAGTGCAACTGGAATTTCCCTACATGCAGTCAACAGGAGGACAAAAGACTTCTTTGTCCTGCTGTCCTCCATGTGAAGATGAGTCATGCAAGTGGATTCCTCCCATCACCTGAGTTTGCAACTCAGAGTACATGGCAGTAGGGGGATGAAAACCACAAACCAAAGGAATTTAGTATTTCTATGCTGCTTGGACTCTGGGGGGCACAGTGTTTCTAGGGATGAGTGAGAGATCCCCAGTTGCTTAGCCTGGGTTAGCCCGAAAAGACATACAGAGCTTGCCGATTATAGAAGCTCTTATTACCTTTTGCAATTTAAGATTGTAACTCATTTGTGTATCTATGTTTACTTGCTTTAACCTTGTAAATAACTCTCTGGTTTCCTTTTCCTATTTAATTAATCTTTAGTTAGTTTGTTATAGGATTGGCTACAAGCATTGTCTTTGGTGTGAGAGCTAGGGTGCAAGTGACCTGGGGTAAGTGACTGATCCATTGGGACTGAGAGTAACCTGAATATTGCTGTGCTCCTTGGTGTAAGGGACCATCTATCACAAAGGTATGCTCACCTGGTTGGTGAGACAGATCAGAATACCCAATGGAACTACCTGTGACTCCGCGCTAAGGGTGCTGTTGTGCCCGAGGAGTTTACCTATGGTAATTGGCTATGAAATCTAAGTGTAGGACTCACAGCCAATCCGGAGTTTGTGTCTTGGTTACTAACAGTCTGGCCTGAGGCAGGTACCCATGCTCTTGAGCACCGCAGGCAGCCATACATCTAATCCATCCCTCCTCGCTGAGGCAGGGTTAAGTAAACCTAGACGATCCCTGACAGATGTTTGTCTAACCTGTTCTTAAAAACCTCCAGGGACAGGGATTCTACACCCTCCTGTAGTAACCCATTCCACTACTTAACTCTCCTTATATAAGTTATATTTAGAAAGTTTTTTCTCGTATCTAACCTAAATCCCCCTTGTTGCAGTGAAGCCCATTACTTCTTCTCCTCCCCTTGGTGGACATTGGAGCCCAACCGATCACCGTCCTCTTTATAACAGCCTTTAACGTGTTTTAAAATTATCAATCCTCTCTCAGTCTTCTCAAGGCTAGACATGTCAGTTTTTTTTAACCTTTCATCAGAGGTCAGGTTTTCTCATTCTTTTATTGCTTTTGGTGCTCTCCTCTAGATTCTCTCCAATTTGTCCACATCTTTCTACAAGTGCGGCACCCAAAACTGGACACAGTACTCCAGATGAGGCCTCACCAGTGCTGAGTAGAGTGGGACAGCTACCTCCCAGGTCTTACTTATGACACTCTTGTTAATACACCTCAGAATGATATTAGCCTTTTTCGCAATTGCATCACATTGTTGGCTCATATTTAATTTGTGATCCATTATAACCCCCAGATCCTTTTCAGCAGTACTATGACCTAGCCAGTTATTCCCCATTTTGTAGTTGTACGTTTGATTTTACCTTTCTAAGTGAAGTACTGTACACTTGTCTTTATTGAATTTCTTCTTGTTGATTTCAGACCAATTCTCTAAGTTATCGAGGTTATTTTGAATTCTAATCTTCAAAATGCTAGTAATCCATCCCAGTTTGGTGTCACCTGCAAATTTTACAAGTGTAATCTTCACTCCATCATCCAAATCATTAATTAAAATATTTAATAGCACCAGACCTAGGACAGACCCCTGCAGGACCCCACTAGACACATCCCCCAGCAAACCATTGATAACCCACTTGCCCTAGTAGTTTCATCTAGATGGCATTTCCCTAGTTTGCTTATGAGAATATCATATGGGACTGTGTCAAAAGCCTTTTGAAGTCAAGATATATCACATCTACCACTTTCCCCCATATCAATCAGGCCAGTAAGCCTCTCAAAGAATGAAATTAGGTTGGTTTGGCATGATTTGTTCTTGACAAATCCATGCTGGTTATTCCTTATAACACTGTTATCCTCTAGGTGCTTACTAATGATTGTTTGATAATTTGTTCCAGTGCCTTTCTGGGTATTGATAACGAAACTGACCTCCTTTGTAAATTGCTTTGAGATCTCCTCATCAAAAGCACTGTTAAGAGCTGGGTATTACTGTTACTGTCGTAATCAGCCATTGCTACAGAACACTGCAGTACTGGACCAGCACTGTAGGATACTGTCGATACTTTAATCAAGACTGAATGTTAGCAGTGGTCACGCACCCATGACAGACCTCCTGACCGGTTTCTGGGAGATTAATACCCCATGCATAAGAGGTGGCTAACTAGCATGCCTTACTGCAATAAGAATCGGTTAATGACCTCCAGTGACAATCTTGAACCACTGCTCACTCTGAAAGCTGTTGTCGTTTCCGATTAAATGATATGGACACCCTGGAGCTACTAAAGCCCAAATCATTCAAGGGAAGGAAAAAACTAAACCGAAAAGACTTCACTGCCCTGTCATTCCTTTCTAGGTCCCTGTGGATTCTGATGGGCTTATACACAATATAAAATTTGCGATCAAAGACGTGCAGGTGCCTCTGTCTGAGCCCTCTGCCATTCACCAGAAGAGCTTCCTCCAAGCCGACGCTTGGGAAACTGATTTGTGAAGCTGATCTCGCAGGTAGGGAAGAGCACAGCTGGCCTGGTATGATGAGTAATGCAAGTTAGGGACAGAAGTTCCTTTACGCTTGTGAAGAATGGAGGGCATTGCCCCAGAGATCTGTGTTTGGTGAAGGCTTAGAAGGGACGGAAGCAGAGCCTTGAAACAATCCTGATACAATATAGACTGATGGCTCTGTTTGGCAGTAAATGGTCACTCTCTGTGTTGCTGAGCATACGTTCACACCACAGATCAACAGCAGACTTGGCAATAGCTCTCTTTCTTGTAGTAATTTTACAGTAATTCTTACTACTGTGGTCACTAGGAAACATATCCGTTTTCCTCTTTACATTTCCTTCTTTTATTTGGATACGGCTAGCCTGGCACGCTGGAGGCTGATCCTGGGGAGTGTTGGCCGAGTCCCACCTGATGCCAGTGGGATGGGGATGTGGGCCATCACAGTGCGGGTCTATTGCCCTATGTTTCTTAGTCTGTTTGGGGGATAACCGAGCCGCCTCGTACGGCTGTTGTAGAGAAAGCAAGTTAAGAATGAGATCCAGAACATTTGCAGCCCTGATCATATCCTCCAGAGGGCACAGACCAGCCTGAATCGCTGTATAAATGTGTATGATGTCCATAGTTACCATTCACAGCGAAGGCACAAGTCAGGACAAGCCCAGCTTCTCTGCCGTTCTTTTGGGATTGTGCACGACATAAACCCACTATAACTCATCCCTTGGAAGCGCGGCTGCCATTGGAAATCAGCTTTCTAATCAAGATAGCAACCTTCAGCCCTTCCAAACAGAGGAGTATCATTGTTTTTTTAGAGGAGCCATGGTTTCTGGCCCCAGGCGGATGAAAGGGGTTTTGCTTTGGTGCATGGCTGTACTTGTAACCTTCCCTTTGATTTCCAAGCACCTGGGAGGTCCAGTGGCCTCCTGCTGCCTCGATGATCCTTCTGGAACTGCCACTGTCTTTTACAATTACTTACCGATGAGGAGGAGGAGGTGGGATTGCACTTGCAAAGGAGCAGACTAAACTGCAGGTGTTAGCCTCAGAGGCTCTTCCTGGTTCCTGATGGTTCTAATACCCCAGCTTGTCTGTAGGCTTCTCCAGACTGTCTCAGGGCTGAGATCTACCGGCACCACCTGGAGGCAAGAGCAGCTGTGGGATCCACCACATTTTACCTCTTCCCCTCTGCATCCTCTTGAGTCTTCGGATCTGGCAGTTCAGTGGAGGGATCCCTCTGCCTGCACCTCCGCTCCCCCAGCCCTCCCCCCGGGGTGCTCCCTCCCGTGCCCCCCTCCCCGCTCTAGCACAGCGAGAACCGGCGGGAGTTGATGTTCATCTTGGTGACGCCGATGAGCTTGAGGGGTGCGGAGAGGCTGAAGGAGCTCGTGAGCGGGAAGTCGCAGAAGAGGTCGGCGAGCTCGTCCCGCTCCTCCAGCTCGTGGGTGGCGTCATTGAGCATGCATCGGTGCAGGTGGCAGGTCTGCTCGATCTTCAGCTTGTTGATGTCACTTCGCAGGCGCATGAGCTGCCGTGCCAGCTGCTGGTCCTGCAGGCGCATTTCTGCCTGAAACACAGAGATGGGGGGGGGAGGGGGCGGCAATCAGTCACCGCAGCACTCGGGATTCACCCAGCTTCCCTCTCCCTTTAGCTGAGGGCACTTTGATTTATCTCCGAGTGAGCAGCACTTAAGAGAAACAGCAATTATAGATGGGGAAAGAATTCCCCGGGAATTGTTCCCACCGCCCTGGGTCAGATCGCCTGCTGGCGTAAATCAGCCTAATTCCATGGAGTTAGGCTGATATACACCAGCTCAGGGTCTGGTGCATTACATTCACCAGGGGCTTGTCCCACCCGGTTTTAAGTGGCTCCTGCAATGGGGCTGCCCATGGGAGATGCTGTTCTGCATTATAGTAGATCTCACTGCTTAGAAGTTGTTTCCTGATATCTAGCCTTGAAAGGTGGCAGATTCAAAAAGCATAAAAGGAAATGCCCTTTCACCCAACACATTATTAGGCTGTGGAACTCATTGCCACTGGATATCGTGGGCCAAAAGATTAGCAAGATTCGAAGAGGGATTGGACATTATACAGAGAATAAGAATAGCCAGCGTTAGATTAGTAAATACCAACAAAATAAAGAGCTTTGGAAGGGAAATAAAAACCTCAGGCTCTGGGGCTTAGGCCAGCCTGTGACTATTGCAGACCAGGCTGAGATTGAATGTGGAGAGCAAATTGCGTCACACCTGCCAGTTGTGGGGTTCTTACACCTTCCTTCGAAATGTCTTGTACTGGCCACTACTGGAGACAGGATACTGGACTAGAGGGAACCTGCATCTGATCCAGTCTGGCCATTCCAAAGTTCCTAAATGTTGCTTTAAGAACATACGAACGGCCACACTGGGTCAGACCAAAGGTCCACCCAGCCCAGTGTCCTGTCTACCGACAGTGGCCAGTGCCAGGTGCCCCAGAAGGAGTGAACCTAACAAGTAACGATCAAGTGATCTCTCTCCCGCCATCCATCTCCACCCTCTGACAAACAGAGGCTAGGCTTTCATCAGTTTCAGTCTGCTTCTCCTACCTGGTACCTCCTAACCGACCCCGCTCTCTTTCTGGGGCTTGCCCTCTTCAAACACTTGTAGATGGCTTTCATTTTCCAACCTGGGGCCTGCTCCCAATCCCACTGGAGTTAGTGGGAAGATTCCCATTGATGTCAATAGGTTTTGGATAAGGCCCTTGGTGGTTTTCTGGCCAAGCCAGAGCACAGTCAGCCACAGTCTGACACCGATCCAGCTCTTTTCATCTTTTCCCATAAGTCAGCTCCTCCACCCCCTTTATGATTTTTGTCGCCTTTCTCTGGGCTCCCTCCAGTTTGAGCCTGTATCTGTTCCTGAGCTGCTCAGAAACAGACACAGAGCATCAGGCTAATCCCTGCCATGTAGGGTTTTGCCGCAGAGGGGCTGGAGGGCACCCTGGGGGAATGCCCCTGAGGCAGGGGGCACAAAGTCTGCTCATGTGGCTCAATGCATTCCTCCCACGAACAGAGACAAGGGGCGATAGAGGGTGGCAGGGACAGTGGCCAGGGCAGTCCTATGTCCCACCAGTTCAGTTCTGAAAAGTCCTCACAGGGCCATTGCAACAGGACCATGAGTTAGGGGGCTGCCCCAGCTTGTATCAGGGGTCGAACTAGCCCCTGGCAGGCCCTGAGCAGGAGAAGCACAAGCTGCTTCTTCTCTGTCTCTGCACAGGCAATGTTGCAGGGGAAAGACCCTGGTGCCTTGCCCAGGGATGGTCTCAGTGCAGGCCTGGGGATGGAACCGCTGCCTTGCAGGACCAGGGACTGGGAGTGTGGCCTGGTTCTATCTCTGCCATTTTGTGGGACCTTGGGTAAGTCGCTGAGCAACTCTGGGCCTCAGTTTCCCCTCCTGTCAGTCCTCTGCCTCCCTGGGGTGCTGTGAGGCCTTGTGCTCGATGGGTGTGCTCAGGGCTGATGTAAACACAGTTAGGATTAATCAGGGGCAGGTTTCTCTTACTGCAGAGCCTGCCAGGCCCTGGCAGAATGTGCCCGAATGCCCTAAGAACATGGTGAAAACCCTGGATCCTCATCTCAGTGGCTGGGGGAGGACTGAGTCACGGTTACGCAATTACACCAGGCTCAGAGGCAGCTTACTTGTAGCATTGTCAGCATTTGTGATGTCATTCCTGTCTCTTCCCCTCACAACCGCCACCCCCCGAGCAAAACGGAGCCTTACGAAGTATTGATGTTGTTGAAATGTTTCCATTTCTGGGGGAAGTTTTCTAACTTTTCTGCAGGCGTTTTTATTGTTTTAACCAAAGAGGCTGGCAAAATGGCTGCCGAAAGTTTCTGTTTATTAAGAACGTCGACAACCATTTTGATTGAGTTTTCGCTACTGTTTTCGGTTAATAGTCTAAAAAAAATGCTTTAAAAAAGTCACAGAAATGTTGAAATAACAAAAGAGGGGTCCTTGACATGAAAGCCACTTGGACAGTTCCAATTTTTTCATGAAACTAGCTTTTCCTTTTTTGGAACCCACTCTGGCCTTTCTGACGAGGCGCTGATACGCTGTTAAGGCACCCTGACGTTTTCACACAAGCCAAAATACCAAGATGGCAGATGGTGCTCATAGCTCTAATCTCAGACTTTCCTCTCCCCTTCTTGCCCGCCCCATGGCGACAGCTGAGGTTTTAACAAGGCGAGCCATGAATACTATTCTTAGCTCTGCTGGGCAAGTCACTGTCATTCTCTTTGCCAGTTCCAACACCTTGCACTTTGAGATCTCCGCATGCAAAGGGCTCTGAGTGTGCTAAGCAGCATTATCATCCCCACAGGCTGAATCACAAAGAGAGAGAGACAACGCACCAGAAACAGGAGCTGCAGTGACTGATGGTAGCAACATTTTCCCAGGGAGATAAAGCTCTCCTCCGGCTTTGTTCGCTTCTGTGGCGGGTGGGGTTAGGGGCTGGGTGGGAAGTTGCTTCTCTTTCGGCTGAGCTCCGTTAAGAAGAGCTGCCTTTTTCCTTCCAGACAATACATAAAGGAAAAAGAAACAAAGCTTTGTGATGGCTGACAAAAGGATTATCAGCACAATGGAGCAATGACGCTGGAGACTCTGCCCATCTCTGATTGGGATCTGACGTTCAGAGTTTTGCTTCTTGACAACTAACGAACATCTTGTGTGGTAACAACTCCTTCGGGGTGTTTACACATTTGAGGCATCTATTTGTGGTGACTGGGCTATGAGTGGAATCCATGAGGCCATGTTCCACTCATGGGGAGTTGGCTCGAGATACACAAAGGAAAACCAGGCATCACCAAAGGCTTGTTCGGTCTAAAATAACCATCATCACAATGGAACTATGGCAATTTACAGCAGTGTGAATCTGCCTCTATATAGCTCACTTCCCTGATGTGACGATTTTCAGGGGTGCTGAGCACCCACAGATCCCATGAACTTCAACTGCAGTTCTGGCTGCTCAGTAGCTCTGAGAATCAGACCCCCTGCCCTCTGCACTTACAGAGCACCTTTCCCTGGAGGATCTCAAATCTCTCTGAGACCAACTGATCGCTCCCTCCCCATGAATGCGAGGGGCTATGTATTAGAGCTGTTCCCATTTTACAGAGGGGCAAACCATGGTGCAGCAACACTGGAATTGCTGATCTCTGAGCCATCTAGGCAGTTCACTTGTCACTGATGGGAGACCGGACCAGATCTGCAGAGGAAGGTTAAGTGACTTGTCCAAGATCACCCAGAAAGTTAGCAGAGCTTGGGGCAGAAACCAGAAATCCTAACCGTGGCTCTGCTGTTCTAGTTCCTAGTTGACAGTAATGGAAACACCTAACCCAAGTGTGACAGAAGGCACTGTCAATTATGAATGACCTCCGTTATAAAGGGACACTGTCAGGTAGACAGAGTTCTACACAACTTACTGGAAAGAGTGAACATGGCTACTGTTTACGTGTCAGTGGCCACAGTTGTTTTTCAATTTAAACATTCCCCTGCTGGGCCAGCAACACAACTGTAACACGTGGCTCAACTTCATCTGACCTGGACAATGAAACCAATCATAAATACACAGGTAAACAGCCCAGCTGTGTGAAGAACAAACAACTGACAGCATGATTGGTGAACAGTCAATTGGATATTCCAGAATCCAGTTCAGAAGTGGCTGGTAAGAAATCTCTTTCAATATGATTTCTGTTTTGAACAGATCCATTTACATTTAAAAAGGCAGGAGAGCAGAACACCCCAACTGAACCCTGTCATATAATCAGAGGGGTGTGGATCCTATTTTATCATGGAAATCTGGAAATTAGAGGCGGAAAAGACCAGCTAGCACAACTAGTGCCTGGTCCTACTTCTATTGAAGTCAAAACTCCCGTTGATTTCAACAGTGCAAGACTGAGCCCTGGATTCCTGCCCCTGCCAATGCAGGATTATTCCTTAGCGTCGATTTATTCGCATTTTAAGGAGAATTTGCTCTCCTCTTTCCTACTTGCTCAGTTTTCAACAAGGGACGCAGAAATGCCCCATTGGTTTTGTCCCATTCTGAGACAACAGAAGGTATGTGTCCCAGCTATTGGAGCTAAGGAGAGTGATTTCTTTAGATAAGCTATTACCAGCAGGAGAGTGGGGTGGGGGGAGAGAAAACCTTTTGTAGTGGTAAACACCCATTTTTTCATGGTCTGTGTGTATAAAAACATCTTCTGTCTTTTCCACAGTATGCATCCGATGAAGTGAGCTGTAGCTCATGAAAGCTTATGCTCAAATAAATTGGTTAGTCTCTAAGGTGCCACAAGTCCTCCTTTTCTTTTAGCTATTGGTATATAACCTCCATTTTCATGTGGCGCAGCAGTGAAGTCTCAGTACCTCCTTCCTAACCAAAGGGATGCATCCTGCTCACCCTCACCAGCCCAGAAGGCCCTTTATCGGATATTTACAGTGGAGAGCACATCATAATAGAGAGTTCCATGGACCTACCTCTCTTTCCATTCCCATCCATGCAGATCACTCCCCTCTCAGTGCAACCCCATAATAGTCTTGTCCAT